GGGGGGTGGGGGGGGGGGAGGATGAGAGATTGGGGTTAGGGGCAAGCTTAGTGACAATGATTTTATCTAGCCAGGTGACACCAGGCGACCTCGCAGCCTAAGAGACGAACCCGATGAATATAGGCGGTCAACCAATTTATGGGTCGGAGGTCGCTAGATGGGAGTGGAAGAAGAAGATTTGAAGCCCTCAGGTCTAGTCCATAGAATCGTTCATGTGGTTTTCATGTTATAATGGTGGTTGTTGTTGTTCGGATAGAGGAAAGTAGTCTCACGGAGAAACGATGCGTTGTGTAAGAGTAGTAACACTCAATAGCCTTTTGTACTACTACACCAGAACCAACGGGTGGTTCTGTTGCGCGTCGGTTTGGCAGGAATAGCCCCGAGTGATTTCTACACGCTGCACATGTGGGGGGGGTGGTTTCATCGCTGATGGATGTGCATGTACACACCTTCGTGGGTGGGGAAAGGGGGGGGATTGTAGTGACTATTTGTCCTTTGCACGTACATTCTACAAGTATATTCCATGTGTCGACAATGCTGATCGATAAGGGTAGGGGGGGGGGCGTATTCAGGCGTTCTTGTTATATGGTACCCGCGTGTGCTGTGCTAGTTTGTGTTGTGTGCGAGATTATGCGATCATCAAGAGAGAGGTAGACCGGCCGGCTTTCTTTGCAGGAGGAACAACGCACGAGGTCAAACTGCAGGTTCCTTGTTCTGTGCACGATAGGGTGACAAATCTCGTAGTTGTGATCGCGGCTGGCTCTGAACCCTGGCAGAGGGTTTCCAGGGAAGTCTGTCTTAAGGTTGGTGGAAGGGTTTGGTGGAGGGCTGGTCGTTGTCGAGGATAGCATAGTACATATTTTCTTTTCCCTTTACAGTCTGGTTGATTTCCCCGCGTTGCGGGCTAATTTGTTGTGGCGCCAGCAAGGGGAGCACCAGCGCATAACGACAAGAGCACACATGTTTTTACCTATAACCATTTTACAACGGCTGCTGCAGCGTCATGCAGTGCCGCACTGCTATTGAACCACGCCGCGAAGCTTGGCGCAGACGTGAGCCACGAACCGGTCTTGCCCTTTGGTAAATTTCTCGACAAAGAATCCATTTTGTTCTTAAAACAAGGTCCCGACCAAACGTCGGGTGCATGTTTGTCGGATGAAGCCGGGCGTTGACTGCTGTTGCTGCTGATACCCTGAGCAACGCACAGACAGCACGCAAGACAAAAACAAGAACGAACCATTGGGTCCCCATCGATGCTCGAGGTTTTCCCAAGTGACATCTTGCGTACACGAGGGGGCCCCTTCCCGCTTCCGTTCTCAAGCCAGAGGCAATAGGCAAAACAAGGTAATCGGCTCGGGACTAGCAGCGCCGCCGGACACTCGTCGGCTTGCTTTCAACCATGGGCATATTAGGCACACAAAGCATTTTTTCTGCTGTTTGTTGTTGCCGCGTCAAGTCGGCCGTTCCCTTACATCTTGTTCTTCGCGGCGAAACACGCTGTTCGGACATGAGTGTCTAGAAACGCAGGTTGGCCATCCATCACCATGATTTCACTGCTACATCGCACGCACCCTGGACTAAATGATCCGTTCATGAGAGACGGATTTATTCGTTGTGTTATCGCTAAGAAAAGAAAAGAAAAGGACGTGGCACGAGAGATAGACCAAGCATTATACACCCGCGGCGATAGGTGAATGGCGATGTTGACTCGTGCGCAGATCGGCAGGCACGAGGCACAGCCTCTTCGCAGGCGAACTGCCACAGCTTAGCACCCAAACGCGCCAGCACACATATTTACAAAAACGGATCGCAGCAGCACTTGTTGTACACATGCGCCACCAACCCGACCAAAACAACAACAAAAAAACAGGACAACAAGCTTTCGCAAGAAGACTGTCAGTCACCCTTCCGCCATCATCATTCCGAACCCACGCTAGACTGCTGCAGCAGCCCTAGCACTTCGCCGTGGAGCGGCTGGGGCTTGATCGCGCCGTCCCCGCAGCAAGTCAGGCCCCCCACAGCCGAAGCAAACCGAACCATGTCCCTCGCTCTCCCCCCAATACCCTCCAAACCCGCTGGCGACAAGCCGGCTTTCTCCGAAGACAAGAGCTTGATCGCTTCGGAGATGAAGCCGGCCGAGAACGCGTCCCCGGCTCCCGTGGTTTCCACCACCTTCAGGCCTTCGAACACGGGGATGAAACCCGTCTGTCCCCCCATGGAGTACGCCGCTCCGTTTTCCCCCGCCGTGACGAGGATTGCCTGCCGGGCGGCGTGTTTGGAGCGAGATGCAAAATATTTATTGGAGTTTCGAAGACAACGATGACAAACGTGGGGAGCGGGGGCGGAGGGAGCACTGACCTTTTGCCGACCCTCTGTCGTTTGACCATTGACCGCGTAACCGCTTTCAAATAGAGACCACCTTTCGAACTAATTATCAACTGTGAATAACTCCACCTCCTGGGTTCTGAAAACCCGTCCTGAGAACTCGCCCATAGCCATTACAATACTAAACCCATGACTTCTTTTATATGCTGAAATCCACGCTATTTACTACATATCGAACACACACACTAAAAACAAAAAGTCGCAACCCCACCTTGGCGGCCGGAAAGAACCTCTGCAGACAAGGCGGGTCTCGTAGCGCCACCTCGCCGGAAATCCCGCACAGCCACTCCGCCTCCTCGTCCGTGAGCTTCACCACGTCCGCGGTGAGGGAGAAGTCCATTATGCGCTCCCTCGCCAGCGACTCGAAGTCATCCCCCTGCGGAATCGATGGGCAGCGAGGGCGGGGGGGTGGGGGGTGGGGGGGGGTGTACTCATAGTCGTGCATGCCGTAGTCGTTAGATCATCGTCCTCGTATTTCTACAAAGCCGGGACGGAGCACGCCGGGTTCTCACCGGACCAGGCTCGGGGGGTGGGCGTAACTCGCATGTTTTGCATGCCTTATGTAGCGGTTAGATCGTTGACCGCAAGTCCTCGGGGGGCGTATTCATGTTTTGGATGCCTCAATAGCCCATTGACCACGCGCCCTTGAGAGGACGGAGGGGGCGAGTCACATGCAAGGCAGCGATCTGCAGGCAACAGACTCATGGAGCTTCTCCTTTCGAGATAGAGGAATGTTGTCCTTTCCCAACAAGATGACTCGCCACGAGAGACGGGATGGGGACTGGGGGGGTGGAGGCGTGCGTGGGGGCGTGGGTGTCGGGGTACTGTAGTTTCATATACAATGCTCGAGACCCTACATGTAGGCATTTGTATAGAGCAGACAGCCTGTAACGAGCACATCGTGCTTCACCGGGACAACAGCAAAGCGCGCGCGCTGGGGGGGGGGCGGGGAGGTCGGGAGAGGGTACCCCCATCGGTTGCCTGATTCAGTGTCGTAGGAACTTACAACGACAGAGAGCAGATTGGGTAGAGATTTGCCCAGAATCTTGCCGATTCTCGCGCCACGGCTACATACAGAAGAGAGGCGAGCAGTAGCGGTGAATCCGATAGAGAAATATTTATTTTGTGCATGGTCTGTGGGCATAGTAGACACTAGAAAATACTGGGGGGTCGTTCGATTGTTGAAAAAGAACGAGGACAGGCATAAACGCCGCATTATCGCCAAAGCTTACCCCGCCCCCTTCCCCCGCGAGCTCCCAGAACACCGGCCGCCAGTTGATGTCGAGGTACCGCACAGCCCCGGCGTCCTTCGCCCTGCGCGCACGCAAACGCGCGGAAAAAGAACGTGGAGCATGTCAAACGTGAAAACCCAATGGAGTAAGCATCGATTCAAGTTCTCTGCGCGTGTTGGACACCCAACACAACAGAGATCGGGGAGTGAGTTTTCGAATATTTTTTCCGAAGATAAAAGACGTTCTTCGAAGCAAAAACCTTAACCCCCCCCCGTCCCTCTCCTCTTCATGCGCCGCTTCGCGTGTTTGCGTAGGATGCACTACACACACACCTTCACACTTTGACTAGGAAGTGTTCTCTCCACGCTACAAGACTGACGTCTCTTCATTGGTCAGCCGGTTAGCGTCTTCGATGCTAAATCAGGAAACACACACGACGCAGGATGTGTTTCCTACGTACCATTCGGCCAGGCAGACGTGGCTCTCGCAGGACCCTGGGTAGGCCAACCCGAGTGTCCCTTGCACCAGCCAGGACCCCGGCTCAAGCAGACCCTTGACCATTTCCTCCGACTCCGACAGCCTGATCGATCGTAAAAAAGAAGGAGATGAGTTTGCTGAATTTTATTCAGTATATTCTGGACGTCGTCGGTCTTTCACGCGTTTCGGTACGATATTTTGATTGCACAAGCCGGGGGTCACACTATAGTGCGGGTTTTATACCGCGGGTGCCCGGTGAGTGCGGGTGAAATTGGCTGGTAAACACGGAATAATCAAGATGGTTGATACACGGATAGTGCAGATGCTCGCAACAGTCGCGCGAGAAAGCGCTGGGGACATAGAGGGCACCCGGCTGTAGACCCACCCCCGATATTCACACAGACAGCCCGGGTGCCGCAGGAGAGTGAGACACACATGCAGCGAAGCTATTCCTTGTCCTAGAGCACCCGTGGTCAATAACGGATCAGGATTACTCAGGGGATGGGAAGTCTGTGGGGCACGCCGGGCCACGTGCTGCACAAAGCGGTCGGGGTCCTTGTCATCACGAAACTGTGGGACCCCGTCAGGAACCAGACCATACTTTTTATGTATCATTTTTGTATATTTTCAGCTGGTCGAAGACGGGCAGCCGAAGGCGGCGATGACAAATAAAATAACCAAAACGTCCTACAGGAGAGCGGAAGATAGACGCCGTTCGGCGGTGGATTTTTTTTCGCCTAAGCGACCACCTAACCCCGTGCATCGACACACTCCGACAACAAACGCGCCTGGATGATGGAAAGCCGTCGGGGCCAAGTCGTGTCCTTCGCGGACAACATACACAAGCAGAAGCGCCCGACAAAACCGAAACAATATTTTTCGCGTTCGCCGCCCGGTAAAGGCGAGGAAAAAAAAAACTCCCCCATCTTTGCGCGCAAACCCTAATCGCCAGGAAGGTCACGGATGCCTCTACGCTCCGCTTGTGGAAGGCGCCGGCAAAGGCTCCACGACGGGTAAAGCTTGAGCTCGCTTGAGTGGAACGTCGCGACAGGGCACGTAAACCGCACGCCCACACACCTGTGCTCGCAGTCGGCAAAAGAGTCGGACGCCTTTCCGCCACCGAACCCAGCGAACGTCCGGTCACCGTCCATGCCCCTCGTAACCATTACCTTGTTTCAAGCAACCAAAAAAAAGCGGAAAAGACGAAACAATACGGAGGGGGCGGGCGCAACCGCAAAAAAAAAAGTTGAACAAGCTCATTTTCGTTTTTCTGTTGTTGTTGCCATTCCCTATCCCGTCCCGTTGTCGTTTCTCTCTTGTTTTCCTCTCTGTGTGCCGGTGTCACTGCCCTGTCGCTGTCTCTCTATCTCTGCTTCGTCCCCGGCTATTCTTTTTCTTTTCTTGCTCACGACACAACACATTATTTTGCATTTCGGTGAAGGTGGACACAACACCGTGTGACGCCATGATGTGTTGCGAACCGGTACTCGATGTTTTGCCGAACCAGTTCTTGATGTTTTCATTCACCGTTCTAGTCGGGCGGTCGTCGACCCTGGCGGCTAGCTCCGTGCCGACTCCCGAGGACTCCAGCACCTGCAGGAGCTTGTCGCCTAGGAGGAGAGAGAGGAAGAGCCAGAGAGAGAGAGAGAGCGAGAGAGAGAGAAACAGAAAGACAGAAAAGGAGGGGGAGAGAGAGAAGGAGAGAGAGGGAGGGAGAGAAGAGAGGGAGAGGGAGAGAGAGAAAGAGAGGGAGAGGGAGAGATAGACAGAGAAGGAAGGGGGGAGAGAGAAGGAGAGAGGGATAGGGAGAGAGAAACGACAGACAGTCAGAGAGGACATGCGGAATCAACCGCAGAACCGACCCAGCAGTTCCGGCACTAGCAACAACAACGACGAGAACAGAAAAGGCAATCGCAAGTATCGACAAAAAGGTAGCAGCGATGAAAGACATGAACCGCAAGTATCAACAAAATACGAACAATACCAACACCAAAATTAACAGCAGACAGCAAAGGACATACGATACGCAGCAGCGGTGGTAGTCACCAATCACCCTCTTCATCCCGGCCGACCGCGCCCACGAAGCTCGCAGGGACGCCCAGCTTGGCCAGCGCGCAGGCCACGTTCGCAGGAGCCCCCCCCGGATACGGTGTCCACGCGGCGCTCTCTTCGACCCTGCCCAGCTCCCAGCCGGCGGCCTCCGGATTAGCGATGCAGTCGAACAAAATCTCGCCGTGGCTACAATGTAACAATGTAACAGTGGCGAGTGTACAGCAGCAGTCGAAGTGGTCCCTGCTCAGCGAGTTTCCCTCTTATAGCGGTTCCACAATCTCGTGTCAATGCGAACGAGTGTACAGCAGCAGTACATCGTGGTCCTTGTTTTGGCGATTTTCCTTCTTGTTTTGTTGCCAATTATCTCGTGTCAATACTATGAAACAATAAACCGGGACTGCTATTTTTTTAGATATTGCGTGCCTTGTGTAAACTTCTGTGGCAGAGGTGAAATGACCAAAATAAGAAATAGCGATTGTTTGGCGACGAAGGCGAACATGAGAGCTCGCGAACGAAAGCTGTACAAATATGAAGAGTAGTGGCAGTTGTACACGCTGTAACAAACAACCTGTCGTTGGATCTTGCCTAGCGTAGCAGTCTATAGGCGGAAAAGACGACGCAACGAAGTTACAAAATCCATACCCCTTTGAGGATTTGCCGGGCGGGTGCAATGTACAATCGAGACTACAGCAGTAACCAGTGCTATGCTTCCATAAAAGCGAAGATTGGTGGAAGCTTGTGTTGCACATCATGGAACATGTTACTGGCCAGCATGCGGAGAAACCATGAGGTTCTGATTGATTACAGGCTACAACCACTTACTACGTAGTGTGGCGTTTGAGATAACAGTTCCCCACTATCACACAGGGTTCCTGTGTAGCGTGAAACAGCGGTTTGCCAAGGTTTGCATCCTCATCGAACACGTGCTCATGAAGGCAACAACCCAACACCCGCAGAGCAATCTGGCAATGACCGCAAAAACGTCGCATTCATTGACCGCGGGCCAGCTGAAAGGCAGAGAGTACTCTTCTTCACTGCAATGTCATGTTTCAAATCCAAGCTCCCCTGTCCAAGATAGACCCGCACACACAAACACACACACACACACACACCACAGCACCCGAGGAAGACCGCTGGCACTGCCACCTAAGGCTTCCTCCGTCATAGACGCCGCTGTGGCCTTCGATCGAGGCCGCACCAAACCTTGCCGTTGCTGGGCGGCCGGCGCAAGAAGGCGCTTGTGCTGCTGCTGCTGCTGCTGTTGCTGGGACCACAGAGGTGGGAGCTGCACGAACGCGGTCGCGTGATCTGAAAGACACATGCTAGATACCGCGGCCATTGCGAGTGCCGCGGCGGGGAGCGACATGCCCTCGTCACGCATCTGTGGCTAGTGCTATCGATCGATCTCTGGCGGCCAACGCTGATGTTCTTGATGTTCTGCAAGTGTTCTGCGCTCGGGGGGCCGGCCGATGGGAAGGAGTTGCGGATACGTGGAGGCCGAGTTTATGAGGGGAGAACAAGCAGGGGCGATGGCGTGTGTTGGAGCTTTTGTGTGTTGCGTCTGCTGTCGTTGCGCGGTGGAAGTGCTACGCAGGGAGGAGAGCCGTTGGCATAGTTGTTGCCTGTCTTCTTCTACAGCTGTGCTTGCAAATATAGGCTGAGACGGCAAACAACGACAAAGCACACTGAAAAACTTTTTGAAAACTGGCTCAAGGCTAAGGCTGTAAGTAGACCAGTATATGCAGAGTAAAAGGCATCAAGTTGTACCAACCTCGATTAGTCGAGACAAGCAAGCCAACAACATTCAGGATTAGGTGGCACATCTCCACGGTAGCCCTGCCCATGGCGCCTCAAGCTGGCAACGGTGGCTGCTTGCAGGGGAAGGTGTTCGGGCTCACCGGAGAGCTGGCTAGGAAGGAACTCCAGCCCATGCTCAAGGCGCACGGGGCGACGGTGAGTACACCGGAGGCGGAGAAATACCACCCCTCTACTGTAGACCGACTTTCAAAGCTCGATTGCTCCACAATCAAGTGGGGTGCGGAAAGAGCACGATAAGTCTATGGAAAGCCCTCGACGAGATGTTTCCAAAACCAATGCTGTTCTTGGTGTTGTTGGCACAAGCTTGGTTGTGGAGCAATGGAGCCTTGAAAATAGGCCTATTGTTATCGGGTTCAGATGTGTAGACGGAACATAGAAGAGAATGGTTCCTTCTAGAAGGCGCGGAGAGGTATAACTCCCCGCGGAAGGATAAAACAGGGGACAGGATCTAGTAGCCCCTGCTTGTACTGAAGATCCTGCGCCCCTTGGTGTCATTCCTACCGATACCCATTGCAACAGTTACTGCTGCTGCTGTTTTGCAAGAGTAATAACAAGGGAGTTTTTTTTCACGGGTCAACCAGATTTCATCACGCGTGCATACCCCCCCACTATGTGGGGGGGGGGGGGGGGGGGTGTACTCATAGTCGTGCATGCCGTAGTCGTTTGACCATTGACCTCGCATCCCTACAAAGCCGGGACGGAGCACGCCGGGTTCTCACCGGACCAGGCTCTCACATCACCAAGCGCGAAGCGCCGTGAGGTATTTGGCGAGTCGCATGAAGGGTGAGCTGCATCCTGCTAAGGGTGTTCGGCATCTTGTGCTTACTTCCTTGCGTACGGATGACAGCTACGTATGACTTAATTTATTTTCTGGTGCTTTCACTTCCAGAGACAGTTGTAAGCACTGTGTAACTGCCTCGAGGAAGCTTGACCATTTTAACACAACGTGGTGCGATCATCCCCCGTTGCGCGGAGTGAGGGTTCTCGACCCCGCACAACATGATTTACTCGACCACCATTATGGTTACCGCCAAAAAAAAAAACGAGGTAAAAAAAAAAAAACGGTAACCTGGTTGCCGAGTTCACGAAGTGAATTGGCTTGTTTTACAACGTCGTTGCCAAGCGACGAAAACCCAATCCCGATGACAAACACCGAGTGGGGGGCTTGTTTTACAACGTCGTTGCCAAGCGACG